TTCAAATTATGTGACCTTGGGCAGGTCAATTTCATGGAGCCTCTGACTCTTTATTTTCAAGATGACCTCAATGTGCATCCTGGTCAAGTATTTTAAGATTTTAAAGATTTATACTGAAAAGTTAATTTGCTCAAGCCAATCATATGTTCTTCAGTTGAAACAAAATTTATGTTGAATCAAAGGATAGACTATTTTGACTAAGGCACATATTTAATCTCTCACCCTAGGCACTTGTATATAATCAAAAATATGCCTACTTCTGGACTTATTTGTACAGGTTAACTGTTGCTACAATACTGCTGTGTAACAATCACACAATTTCATTGGAATACAACAACATTTAATTTATGAACCTTTGAGGCACTATGGAGATTGGTTGATCTAAATTGGGCCTGGCTTACATGGTTCTTCTCCTCCCCATGAATCTCTCATCTTTTTCTTGGAGCTAGCAGACTAGTCTGAAAATGTGTTTCTTATGGTAATGGCAGAGAACAAGAGAATGAGTCCAATCATACAAGCACATTTCAAACCTTAGGTAGTCATGTCCATGATAATTCATTGTCCAAAGGAAATCATATAGTCACACCCAAAGTTAAGGGGTGCTCATGATGCAGATGGGTAATGAAGTGAATAGTTTTGAACAACAATCTAGCATTGTGCTTTGTGGAAACGAGTGATGAACATGTTTATATATGGCTTCTTCTCAGTGAAAATAAAGGCAGTGATGAAGACATGCAGAAACTTTAGGGATTAGAGAGTCCAGTGTTGCTACTTTTCCTCCTGTGGGACATAACTGAATGCACTTCAGGAGAGAGGAGTTGCTGTTTTGAGACAGCTTTTATGAACTTACTTGCACAATTTTAAGGTTCTGGTAAAACTGTCATTTTAGTCAAATAAAGGAGGCAAGATCATAGCACTATCTGAAAAACATCTAGAGCCCCTCCATCTTTCAGGTTTGTGAAAAATTCCTCTGAACCACTGGCCAAGTATCTCTCCTTGGTTAGGCCCCTGCTCATTCTATTCAAGTTAGAGATGATTTTGCAAATTCTGACCAGGACTTATTTATAAAACCAAAGGAGGGTGCTTCAAAGAGGAGCTAATACTAAAACACTGTGAGACACCTGTTATACAATAGATTGAAAAATTACATGACTTATGTTGTGTTTCTGTATGTAAAACTGTCTATCCCTTTACTGCAACAGTCTAAACATCCTCAAACTCTGCCACGTTTTACCCCAAAATCTCCTCTCGTATTCATGTCTCTTAACGAAACCGTAAAAGAAAACCACAATGACCTTTACACAAGTTACTGATGACTAAGTTGTATTAAATAAAAATACGCATAAAGCAGCAGCCATATATATGAAGTTAGTCATTTCTTTTTTGAAAACTAATGAGAAATTGAGTGTTAATAAGGCAGAAAAACATTGGTTTATTTTCCCATTTATTGGGCTGTATTATCTATTACTGTGTAATAAATTTAACCTAAACTTAATAGTGTTAAATAATAAATATTTATCATATCATGCATTGTCTATGGGTCAGGAATTCAGAGGAAGCTTAGATAGTTGTGGCTCTCATGAGGTCCCAGTCAAAAGATTAACTGAGGTTGCAGTTATCTGCAGACTTGAGTGGAAACTGGAGGAGATGCTTCCACATTGGCTTACTCACGTGGCTGGCTAGTTGATTCTTGTTGTCAAGAGGAGGTCTTGGTTCCTGGACAGGTGGACTTCTCAATAGAATTGCTTGAGTGTTCTGACAGCATGGCAACTGGCTTCTTCCAGAGTGAGTGATCAAAGAGAGACCAAGGCAGAAGCTACGATGTATCTTATGACCTAACCTTGGAAGTCATGCTCTGGTTGTGCAAGTTACTCTCAAGATTGTGCAAGTTCATGACTCTGAATGTGAATATCTCCTTAAATTTTACAGTCTTGGTGACTTGTTCGCCTTATTCTAGTCCTGACCAGCTATACAAGTCATCTGTATTTAGTGTCAGAGGGGACTATATAAGAGGCAAGAATCATTGGGGGACATCTTGGAGGCTGGCCACGACAAGAGTTAAGCGTTAAGCACTTAACCAAGATTCTGACCAATGAGAAAGGACTTCCACTTGTTCAGCAGTTCTCAGCTTTGATTGAACACTTGAATCATCTGGGAGTGCTGATGCCTGGACCTCACTCCACAATTTTTGATTTAATTGCTTTAGAGGGACCAGCTGTAATATTTTTAAAAATTCTCCAGGTTAAAACCACAATGAGATACCACCTCACACCTGTCAGAATGGCTATCATCAATAAATCAAGAAACAGCAAGTGTTGGTGAGGGTGCAGAGAAAAAGGAACACTCATACATTGTTGGTGGGATTGCAAATTGATACAGCCACTATGGAAAATAGTATGAAGGTTCTTCAACAAATTAAAAATGCATATGCCTTTTGACCCATCAATTGCACTTCTGGGATTTCTCCAAAGAAAACCAAAACAATAATTCATAAAAGATCTATGCACTCTAATATTCATGGCAGCACAATTTACAATAGCCAAGATATGGAAGCAACCTAAATGCCCATCAACAGATGATTGGATAAAGAAACTATGGTTCATATATACAATGGAATATTACTCAACCATAAAAAAAAATGCAATCCTACTATTTGCAATGACATGGATGGACCTAGAGGTTATTATGCTGAGTGAAATAAGTCAGACAGAGAAAGATAGATACTATATGATTTCACTTATATGTGATATCTAAGGAACAAAATCAAAAACTGACTCACAAATGTAGTGGACAATTTGATGACGGACAGAGGGGAGGGAGGTTGGGAGGCTGGGAGAATGGGGTGAAAGGTTAAAGAAGTACAAATTAGAAGTCGATAGTTGGGCAGGGGAGCATGGAAGAGGGAATGCAGTTAGCATTAATATGATGGCTAAATGTAGGGCCAGGGTAGGGAAGGAGCAATTGGGGGGATCATTTTATGAACATTATAGATGTCTAACCAATGTACTGTATACTTGAAACAAATTTAAATAAATAAATTTATTTAAAAAAATTCTGGAGTCAAGGGTAAATATACTGCAAAGGAATGAAAGGTTTCTTTTGATACTGAAGTCCACACAATATTTGCTATCGTTTATATCAGCATCATCCGTTCTTCCCTCCTAGGGCAGGGATATGTGGCAAGGTTTGGAGGGACAAGGGGCATCAGTAATTTATTCATTCACAAACTGTTGATGAATACAGAATGGCTCAGGCTGACTATGTTTTTTTTCTCTCTCACCTATACACTGTATTTTATAAAAGATTGGAAGGAGCAAGGTTAATTTATCAATGCTAGCCTGATATGATTTGAGGCTCTTTATTTGTTTCAAGACATATCAAAACGGGCAGATTGGATGAACAGGAAAGTCCCTGGATGAAAAAGAGAATAATGGGAATTAAATGTGTTAGATTGGAGTTAGGCTATTTGTTTACTTATATAACAGTTTGCCAATGATTTGGTGTACATATGTGCATGCACACACACGTAAAGTTGAGAATAAGATCACTCTTAGCTCATATTATTTTAGAGGCCAGTGAAATGTCGTACCTACTAGGCTACTTGGTTGTTGGCTAGTTATCCCTTTGATCCCTCTTCATCCCATGGGGCGGGAGCCTGGGCTGAAAATGATGGGAGAAGGGTGAAGGAGGATTGGAACTAGGGTTCTTGTGCAAGATATTCTGTTTTCCTCCAGTAAAAATAAACAAAATTTCAGTATGAAGACTAACTGTACTTTCTTGTTATTTGGAAATCTTGTTAGAGCTTTCACATTTTCTTCTTTTCCTAGGGAATGCAACAAGCCTCAGAGATTAAGATAATTTGGGCTAATAGTTTAGCATGTTGGCAAAGAGAAGAGGATCTAGTAAGGACATATTCTTGAAACCTTTGTCGTCACCTCAATCTGAGAATTAAAATGAAAAATAAAAACACTGCAAGTATTTTTTAATGACAGCAGCCTAATTTGCACTTCTTATATAAGCAAGAATATTTCCTACAGATTGCACTGGGTGTCAGCATGACATATCCTCTCACTCTCATTTAAAGGGACATGCAGATGAAAGGGGATGAGCTGCTGGGAAAACAAGTCATTCTCTTCTGACATTCATTTCAGCTGCAGTGGAAGCTTGGCTAGAAGGCAAATATTTAGCAATACAAAATATCTATCTTCTCAATAGGATTTTAGCAGAGTTTTGTTGTATGGCAAAGTCTCAAAGAACTACAGCGTGTCCATCTCATGACAAGGCAGATCACTTCCAATGGACTCTTGAATGCAAGTGTACTTGATGGGAGGTGGAGGTGGCTTGAAAGGTGGGGGTCTTTCCATGCTAGGAATAAAACATTGTGTTTTCAGTGCTAAGAATGTAAGGTGTAATTAAAGGATATATATATATATTTTTAAAGTAGGAAATGGCAAAAGAGGAGACATGCCCCACTAGTTCCCTATTATCCCACTAGTTGCCTATTCTATGCCAGAATTTTCCTGGCATAACCTATGCTTGTTAGTCTAAGATGATAATATTAATTAATTAATTAATTAATTATACCTGGTATTTTATCATTTGCAAATCATTTTTATCATAACATTATTTAATTTGTATCTAGAAATTGACTATTACTGTCACCATTAAACATATAAAAATGTAGCTCAGAGGTTTCAAGCAACTTGCTCAAGAGAATCAGACCAGCAATTCAAGTCTTTTAACCAGAATCTATACTCTTCATGGCAACTACTTCCTGAAAGAAGAAGTGAGCCTCTTATGTTCATTAAAACATTCCTCTAGATACAAAAATTTAAAGTTCTAGAACCAAAGACTGAAGCTTTTCAAACAGTCCCTTTGCCAGCCATACACCCAGACGTCACTCATTGTGTACTATGGGGATACTGCTGAGGTGGGAAGTAAAGCTCTTCTGAATCCTTGAGTTGGTTGGTACTGGATGGATAATGCCTGAATCCCTTCTCTTTATTTTTTTATGTTATTTTATTTATTTATTTTAGGTGAGGCAATCCTTGGTTGACCTCACAGATTGCAAGGACCTCGTCAATTTACAATCCCTTATTATTTTTTTTTCTTTTTAATTTTTACACCTACAGCACCTGGACTTCCTAAGTGGTCTCCCATTTAAGTACTAACCAAGCCCAACCCTGCTTAGCTTCTAAGATCAGAAGGAATAGGGCTTGTTCAGGGTAGCATGGCCATAGACTGAATCTCTTCTCTTTAAATCAGTGAACATTCTTAATGTCATCTACAGCCTAAGCAGGTAGAGGGGACATCAAGTCAGAAGTTGTGCATCTAATCCAAACAGTACTGTATAAAGTACTGTTCTTTGTTAGCACAACTCATCTCTTTTCTGAAAGGCATCAAACATACAGGTGAGTCTGGCGTTCAGCTATACAAATACTCCAGCCCTCTTGATATTAAGAATCAGAAATATATCTGTGAGTATATTTATGTCTGTGACTCAAACTCCTCCACCCCTTGTCTGTCAATCCATAGTATCTTAACTTCTCTAGATCTCTCTCTGTCTCTCTGTCTCTCTGTCTCTCTGTCTCTCTGTCTCTCTCTCATATCTCTATAAAACACAGACATTTGAATGCAGAACAACAAAAAAGATCAGCGCATATTTTCAGACTCCCGTTTTCTCATTTACATATATAAATCCCTTCCCTATTACCTTAGTGGAGACAATATATATCAAAATGTAGATACAATTCTAAGAAACTTGCAATGCTATTTTTCAGAGAAATTATGAATTTTTAAAGGTCATATGGTGGCCAAAATGTAGTACTGGACAAGAAAACAGAATTTCTGAATATTATTTTAGTGTTTTATCCACCATGAAACACTCCTTGCACATGGTTATAGTCTTCAAAGATACCCTAAGAAAAAGAGAGGAAAGTATTGCACAATGGTCAAAGTTATCTTCTATAGCACTCGTAAGATACAAGAAAGATTAGCTCTATGTATTATGGGGTTTCCTCTAATCATGACCTAATCTGTACTGATTCAAAATATCCAAGTCAGAGAACTGGAGCTTAACCTTACATGTCATTTCAGATAGCTCAGTTCAGACTGAAGAAAAGTTCTGGAAAATATTTCAATAAGACAAAAAAAAAGGGTAACCAACTGCTTACTTTCTTTTCCCCCTGGGGAAAAGGAAAAGGACAGTAGAGGCTCATTCTGCTGAAAAGCAGCTGGAAATGTCTTAAAATTACCTTTCTCATTTAATTTCACACTTGAGCATCTAGGACTGGCTTGGCCCAGGCAGTTCAGAGATGCATGAAAATGAAAAAAATAATGAAGATTAAAAGAAAAATTATTTTCAGTTTTGAGGCGAGGGGAAACTCAGTTTTTATTTCATGCCCACTGGCTTGTTCCATCTGATGAATGTTACAGCTTAAGCAGGTAGAGGGGACATCAAGTCAGAAGTTGTGCATCTAATCCAAACTGCATGGAGCTGGGAAAGCTATATAGCCTCTCTGAGCTTCCTCTGGGCCTTATTTCCTCAGTTAAATTTAAGAAGGACACCATGCTGAGTGAATATTGTGTACTGAAAAGGTATCTGTTTCTGCATATCTTAGTATTATACTCACATTTCTCTTTGGTATTGACACCATTTTCTCAGTCCAAGACCAAACAATACCAGGCAAATAAAAAGCAAAGCTGCCACAATAACTGGCCAAGACATTCCTTCTTTGGGCCTATTAACCACAATACCTGAAAAGGGTGTAAAGAGAGAGAAACTTTAATGCCAAACTTTGGCAACTGGAAACCAGGATCAATTGAACTATTTCTCCTACATGTCACATGTTCTCTCCATGGACCATAGGGAACTTCATTGAACACAATTATGCTCTGAGATCATGTCTATGCTTCATTCTCATTTCTGGTTTGGCATTTATACAATTACTTTTTTACATGAATGTCTTTCTTGTTAGAATGTTCTACAACTGGTTTTTTCTTTCATTTTCCCGAGGCATGACACCTGGCACTCAATGAAATGTTATTTGTAAGAAGGAATTAAAAAAAAATGCTAATCTGTAAATTTGTATTCCAAATTTACTCCAGTAAAGAAAAGTTTATATGTGAAATAATGGTCTAGCTTTGGATTTTCTTATTCTTGAAGGAGTCATTAAATGCTTTATGGAATATTAGTGTGTTAGGCAGAGGAAGAAAGAGTAAAAAGCACTATAACATTCCAAAGCCCTGAAAGGCCAAAACTGATAAGGCCTGGCTAAGACCCATGGAGCTGTAGTGTTGAAAGGACTATTGTCCAAGACTTCTCATCCAAATGTCACTCGAGGAATCATATCCTGGGTAGAGGTTTTCTAATCCTTTTCTATCTCCTTCCTTCTTTTTCTTCCTATCTCCTCCTATCAATTTCAGCAAAAGAAAGAGGGAAAAGGGACAAAAGGAGTAAAACTGAAACCATTGGCTTTGCTCTTTCTATGATCTAAAAAGGGAGGAAGTTGCAAGTAAAGTGCTGGCTAAAATTATATTGGTGAGGAATTGATAGATTGATTTTTAAAATCTATGCTGACAATACTTAAACTCAGCTCATTCATTAACTTTTGAACACCAGGTGAAACTTCATGAATCAGACTTTCAAATATTTGGATTCTAGACCAGAAACAATATAATACTATATTCTGGATGCTTTTACTTTTTCTCTAACATGAAGAAAGAGTTAAGAAAATTAACTCTCCTAAGAAATAAGATTGGTTCTAAGATTGTCTGGCAGAAAATAAAAGGGACTGTTAATAATTACATAGTTACTTAACTTTTTCCTTTTCAAAAATATTTTATAATCATGTTAAAAATTGAAGGAGCACAGAAATATAAAACTATAATGAAAAAGAAGTGTCCTTACTACTTCAGGTGCCAGTTACCTACACAAGCGGCCGTAACTTTCAATAGTTAATTATATAATACCAGAAATTTTCTGTGCATACATAAACTTATATACATATCATGAATATATATCCCTTTTATTACAATTGGAGGCACACTATACATACTGTTCTGTCCCTTGGCTTTTTTCTCTTATAAAATGTTCTTGGAATATTTTCTAAAGAAGTATATAGAGATTTACCTCATTCGATTAAGTGACTGGCTAGTTTCCCAGTGTATGGATCTATCATAGTTCATTTAATTGATTTCTTAATATTCGGTGGTTAAATTGTTTCCAGGCTTTTGTTATTTCTGACAACATTCCAGTAAAATTTCTTATAGATTACAAATAGATCTTTAGCTCTTTAGATTTCATAGATCATTTGGGCCAAATGTGTATTTTTATATCAGAATTACCTGGATTGATTTTCTTTTATAGTTTCAACTACATTATAAACTGCTTGTAGGTAGAGACTAAGGTTTTTAATTTCTTTTAGTGCCTAGATTTGCTACATTGCTTTTTATACAGCAAAGTTTAAAAGAAAAATCGTACGCATCTAAAAAACTGGATTTAAAACATTAGTTAGCAAATCTTTTCTATGTTTACATAGTTTGAACTGCAGCCATGTGATGTGGTCATGTTAACAGTGGTTATCAGTGTGGAAGATTTTTCTTTTTACAACACACATACACTGAAAGTACCCTGGAAACTCATGTAGTTCTATAATATATAACCATATGGGACTATGTATTGACAGGTGGCTAGAGAGTACATAGTAATTTAAATCATTAGAGTATCACAATCACAAAATAAACAATCATACAGATGGTCAACTCAGGACTACATAAAGTTCCATTTTAGTTGAGTCAACTTTATTAGTAATATGGTGGGATATAACATTTGCCCCCAAAGTTTTAGAGAAATGAAAGGACAAAAGTTATTAAATGGGTGTTATATCAATGTTTACAAATTTTTTCCCAACTAAATATAGAAATGGAGACCACTGACTTCAGGAATGTCTTCATGCAGAAGCAGAGCTCCAATCTTGCCCTATCTCTAAAGTAGGCAGTTCTCGAAGGCACTGATGTCTTAAAGAGATATTGGTAGGATATCAGTTTGCAGTTCTGTTGACATGTTGTATACAGGATGATGCTCTAATAACCTTCAATATGAAGTAAGCTGAGTACCCAAGTGAAGTGTTAATCCATCAAGTGAGTATATCTTGAAGTGAAAGAGTTGATTATGCGTCTGAATTTACAATCAAGACCAGCATTGGGAGGGTCTTAACTTTATTGAGTCCTTTGCTCTCTTATGATATAAAACAAGAGATTACATTTAGCACTGATAAAATTTTATTAGTTGAATTATAGAATACTCTTTGTTCCAGTGATCTCTTTCTTGCCTCAGACTACATTTTTACAAGATTGAAATTCTTCTCACTACTTTTTACTTGGTTAATTTTTATTCTTATTTTTTTTTGTATTTTAATTTAAATATATTCTCAGAGAACCCTTTCTTGTTCCCTAATTAAAAATAGATTTTTCTATTAGACTTTGACAACACCTTGTACTATATCATAGCATTTTGGAAATTTAATTGTATGATTACTTATTTACTGTATATTATCTCTAATAGATTATAATCTTCAGGAGGCCAGTGTATACTAAACATCTAGCATAGTGCGTGGCAAGTGGTACGCAATCTAAATATTTGTTGAGTGAGTAAAACATAAAATCCAAAAAAAATAAATGGCAAATGACTTACCAGTGATATGGATCTGATTATTTTCAGTAGATCCATTGGCAGTTGTGAGAATACTTGACAATGCTTTGGATGTGCTGGTGAAGACATCACCTAGGTATACAAAGGGGATATCTAAACTAATCCTAATAGTTATCTCAACCTGAAAAAATGATGGAAAATCATGATTGAATTTCACCTGCTATTAGGAAGAGCTCAATTTGAATGGCTCAAAGACCCCTAAAAAAATGTGTAGAGTTTACTAAGGACAATTTACAGCAAGGTTAGGATCCTAAGATCTGTTTAATGGCTACCAAAGAAGTAAAACTTCCTATTGGTTTATAGAAAAAAGAGAAAGTGTTCAGCATAAACAGCAAAATGATATCTGCTAAAAAAATCTCCATGAGAAATTTAAGTAGTTATGGGAAAATGTCTTAAGTTGCAGTCATGGAAAGATGAGGCATACCCCTATTTTTCAGGGTATCAGAGGTCCAGCCAATCAAAACAGTGATTCTCCCCACTCTAATGTGCTTGAAAAAGCCAATAAAAAATCCTTTTCAATATTTGAGTAGATAAATAAATCAATGTTGACAAATCATTCCATTTTCCAATGGAAAAATAAAACTTAAAATGCATTTTTAATGAATTTGATTGGCCAAAATAGCTGTTATATAAATTTAATTTTGAAATAAAATAGAAAAATCTAAAACTTGGTTTCTATCTTCTTTGAGTGACTTGGAAAGATATTGGTTTCATTCATTGTTATTTTCATCATCAAAATGCACTTTTAAATACTTATCTGAGATTGGCTTCTTATCAAATATTACTTTTTTATCTCTGCCCAGATAGAGCAGACAACTGCCTTCCCTGACCCTAAATCTTCCCCAGATACTCACCATGAAGTGTTGAGCCTATGTTTGAGGGGAATGGACTGTACATTTCACTGGGCATCCATGAATCTGATAAAGGAAGAACATATTAGAAGAATTGATTTGTATAAGACTAGTTATTTTCTCTTCTAGACCTTTAATTGAATCTAATAATTATTAAAAATAAATACTAATGAACATTTAAAGCAAGATAATTGAACTATTCAAAGCACACATTAGAATGTTCCAAAATAAAGTGGGAGTTGGAGGTACGCTTGTGGTTCAGACATCACTAATTGGGAAGGTTTTGATAATAGCCACTTAGAAGAAAGAAGAAGGAATGAAGGGAAAATGCTAGGAGAGATTCTTCCAACCACAGAGAATGTGTTGTGAGTATTCTCATGTTCATCCCATAGATGAATTAAAACAGTAAAAAAGAATGAAAGCCCCGGTGTGTTATGGTGGCCTTTGGTCATTAAAAGGTGCCAATAGGACTGTGAAGACCTTGGTAGAACATGCACAAGTAAACAAAGTAGTTTGTATTTGTGTGTAAGCTGACATTCCTGTTCAACTGTGGAAACTGAACTGTGTCAAAAGAGAATTATCAGACCCCTATAGCCACAGGTCTATTAGCTGCTGGGTAAGTCCTTTTGATGCATTTGGAGGCAAAACATCCCCATGAGTGGATGGCAGCCAACTCGGGCGACACATATGGCTTTTGAAATTGATTTATAAGCTCATTTTGTTTAGTTCCTCATCTCTGCCAAGAAAAATCCATTTCTTGGCCAAACTCCACATATCTGTATTTGGTAATAGGCCTATAATGTGATGTAAAGTAAAATAACTGTAGTAGTACATGAGTAGTATGCTCATTTATTTAATATATTAGCATGAATAATTTTCCAAGCTAAGTGCTTTCTTGTGTGTCCAGACCAAACAAATAAGCAAAACCAAAATGAAATAAAAGAAACATTAAAAAAAACCTTTTGTCCTCCCCTTTCTTAGTTTCCCCATGAATGCCAAGAGCAGTTGCATTCAGACAAAGTATATCAATGCTTTCTAGGGACTGCTCACAGGGCAACCTGTCATAGCTACTTCCACGTGGAGTCACCCCACAGATAAGGTTGGTTTTGTGAACAGCTATTTTGAGTTCAATTAGGCCAAGGAGGTGTTCTTATCTTCAATATAATTTTTCTAACCCTGTATCTGTGATTTCCACCATTTTTTTTTATTTTAGATGGAATACCGGGGTCTATAGATGTTGATGGACTGAGTATTTTTCTAATGATCGTTTTTAATGATTAAGCCATTAAGTCAGGAATTTGATTGACAAAGAGAAACAACTATAAAAATAAATTGGGAACATGCCTGGATTCAGGTAAAATTATGAAGAAGGCAGTTTGTTCTGGATAACTTTACAGGTTTATTTGACTAATATTGTGTCTCCCTTTCTTCCTACTTTTAGAGTTTTATGCCTTTACATCTTATCTCTTTCAATTTTATTTGTAAGAAAGAAAAGTATAAATTAATTTATGCTAAGATATAAGTGGTTGAACAAGTGCTATCCCTTTGAGCAAAATGGGTATTAAGAAAATAGATTTTCCATTTCATATTTATCAGCAGGTCAATAAAAAACATTTAGCAATGATCGATTACATGCGGACACCAACAGTTTGTTGTTGTTGTTTACCATATACAGAGTGCCAGTCTTTTCTGGTCAATATTGATTCTCTCCAAATAAAATAACAAAGCATAACACAGTTTAAGGAGATAGGGACACCATCAGCATGACCCATTCGAATTACAAAAATGGCAGTACTTAAAATCGTGGAAATTATTTGACCATTTTATAAAAGTTATTTTTAGATTGTGAGGAATTTTTCAAGTGTAAAAAAGGAACCTCAAAAATGCGTGATAGAATTAAACTACAAAAATCTACTTTGGAAAAGTAGGGGGTTACTTTTTCTAATTTTGGTCTTAAGATTTCTCTTTTAACTTTGTTTAAAAAATACAGTGGGGGAGTGCATTGACAAAGGTGAAGAACTTCCAGTTGATAGATTCGATATGTTTGAAAATGCCTGAGTAATTTAAAGGAAAAATTTCAAGAGCAAGAATAAAAATTTATTATAAATAAGAGTTTTTCAGCAAGACGAATAGATGAACAATTCTTGCATCAATTGCTCCCACAGGAGGGAGGTCTTCCTGAAGAATGATTGTTTATAGAATCATCAGTAAAATAGAGTTGGCTACCTCCAATGATTCATCTTTCACTAAAACAATACTTTTCTAAAAGTTTCTACATTCTATTATTTAAAAATCCAATTTTTAGAATACATTCCACATGGATTACTCTATCTGCCATTTTTAAGTCTCCTTGAGAGTCTCAGCAGAATTGTGTTGCTATTGTCTTTTAATTTATTGAAACAGTCTATGGTCTTCAAGGCACCATCATGTTTGTTAAATACAAGAGTTAAATCTCCTTTAAATCCTTTGAGCACCCGTTTTCATCAAAATCCACAAATGAACACAACTTTGACATTTGGATGGTAAACACCAACTTTATGGATAACCTCTTCTAGTGTATCACCAACATCAACTGAAAATATAAACAGAAGAGTACTATGTTGTTGGAGTTTCTCAGATAAATTCTTGAATATCCTCTCTTGAACATAACCTTGGTTTCTTCCATGGTTTCTTTAAATTTAACTTTTGGTAAAGCTTGTTCAGCAAGGAAACAATGTGACTTAGCCTATCATTCCACCATAAGAGGGTATTCTATGGTAAAAATAGGATCAGCTTCAATAGCATAGTAGTTTTCATTTGTTTGCAATGACTTCTTTAGACATCCATCTATAACCAGTCTATAATATTATGACATATTAGAAATCTTTTCCTTTTGTAGGAAAATCTTCTTAGTTTCATATCAATATCTGTGATTATCTGAAGTTCAGCAGCTCCTCTTTTCATGAAACCACAGATAACTTCTTTATTCTTGTTGCAAACTGAACCTCTCTGAAATTCTGGCATAATTTTTATATTTCCAGAACTTTTCTTGGTTTTCCAATCTTCATTATGTCACTCTAAATTTTCTGTCCTTGATTTTGTCCTAGGATGACATAGGTGGCAAGCAATATCTATAGATGCAGGGCTTGGATACAGAGATCTGCTCCATTTTCTTCTTCGAGGTGAATATGGACTGGGCCAGCACTACTTCTTCTATCAGACATACATGCTGGCATTAGCTACAGTGTCTACTCTTGCCATGATCATCTAGGCCATAGATGGTACCCTCATGTTCTTCTTGACCATGAAGATGGCACTCACGGGCTTTTGAAGTGTGAGGCTTATGTGCTAGCTGTGGAGAAGCCCCCAAAGTTGATATTTTAACAAAAGATAGAATTTTAAATCAGAGAAATAAATTTTTAATTTGAGACTGACCTAATCAGGAACTAGGTGACAGAATGGGAGAAAAGCATTTTAGAGAAAAGGAAAATGGATTAAGGTGTAATATGAGACATATATGATTTTAGAATTCGGGGACAAGTGTGGTGACTTTAGAGAATCGGTATCCCAGCCAACAGAGAACAGAAAGACAAGACTCTCATGCAGACTGAAGTAGGAGCTGTGGGTTCTCTCATAGCTATGTCCCTGCTATTGACCCTCAGTTCCTCAACTTTAGCCATTCTTTAACCCCTGCTTATGGAAAGTAGAAGGGTTCTTACGAAATTAATAGGCACAGCTGCCAAAAGCCTGAGAAGAACCAGACAGGACCAGGGACCAGATACGCAATGTGTCTTTAAGATTTAAAAAGAGTATGTAAAATTTGAAGGATAATAAATACATGGTCAAAGAACAGAATAAGACCCCATATGAGGTCAATAAGAGGTTCTCTGAGTCCCAGGTGTGTGTGTATACTGATAATAAGTTTGTTGATTTTGGTAATGGGGCAAGTTTGAGGCATAGGGGCCCATGGAAATTCATATTGCTTTTCTACTTGTCCAACTTAGACAGAATGACTTATTAAATGTGGCTTTAGGCTCCAGTGGACCAGATGAATGATAGGGAAAAACAGAATGAAAAAATCAATTAAGCTTCAATTTTCTACTTCATGGCCTGATCATCGGAGTGTCAGGGTGAAAATATGTCCCTGGATATTATTAACTTTATAAATTTTGAGCATTTATTTGATCAGATTTGGTATCCCCATTCCAAAGGTGGGTAGTTAAAGTAAAATAAACATTTCTGTTCCAGACTGTGGGAAACTTAATAGCTGAACTATGATTAGATTCCAATATTCTTAAATCCCAGCTTAGACCTCTTTAAGTAGATAAAATGACAAAAAATACATTAAAACATATATTTTTAAATTTAGTGTACATGCAATGCACTCAGAACCTTCTGGAGACATTCAAATATATATGAGCTACACAAAATGCATATATGAACAAATATATAACATGTTCGTAAACAGCACTTGCACTTCTGAGTATTTATCCAAAGGAAATCAAAAAACTAATTCATAAAGATCTACGTAGCCCTTCATTCCTGGCAGTGCTTTTCACAACAGCCAAGATATGGAAGCAACCTAAATGCCCATCAACAGAAGATTGGATAAAAAAATTATGGTACATATATACAATGAAATATTACTCAGCCATAAAAAAATGAAATCCTACCGTTTACGATGACATGGATGGAACTAGAGGTTATTATGCTGAGTAAAATAAGTCAGACAGAGAAAGATAAATACCATACGATCTCACTTAGATGCAGAATCTAAGGAACAAAAAGAAGAAACTGAACGAAAACAGATGCACAGATACAGAGGACATTCTGGTGATGACCAGAGGAGAGTGGCTGTGGGAGGCTGGGACAAAAAAGTAAAGAGTTAAGTTAGGTACAAATTAGTAGTTAAAAAATAGTCACAGGGATGTAGAGTAGAGTATAGGGAATATCATCGATAGTATTGTAATGGCTATGTGTAGAGCCGAATGGGTGTTAGAATAATCAGGGGGATCATCTCATAAACTATATAAATGTCTAACCAATGTACTGTAAACCTGAAACTAATAAAAAAAATAGCAAGGGCA